GGAGCCTGCAGTCTTATGGGGGAGATGGCAGGGGTGAGTGACCTCGATGCTGTGTGACATGGGACAAATAAAGCATTGGGAGTCCGCAGGAAGTGTGCCTGGGCTAGCTACATAAGAAAAGTCTTCCGATGTTTAAGCTGGTACCCAGGGGTGAGGAGGAAAGGGGGTTTCAGATGAAGGGAACAGCAGGGCCAAAGGCAGGTGTGGAGAAAGGGTCCCGGGCCAGGTGGGCAGCGGCTGAACACACAGCCCCTAACCTCTAAACACACAGCCCCTAACCTCTACGGGAGTCCAGAGCCTCCAGAGCCTCGGAGGGCTTTAAGTGGCCTGACCAGATGTGCATTTCAGAAAGAAGGGAATGTGTGATGTCACAAATGCCAAGGAAAGAACAGCGTTTCAAGGAAGAGGGAGTGAATAACAGGCCAGATGTTGCAGGGAAGTCCAGGGACATAAGAACCCAGATGTGTCCTTTGGAATTAGCAAAACTGCTGGAGGCATCGGAGAGAGAGGATCCAGTGGCGGCGGAACCGAAACTAGCCGGCAGCAGTTAAGGAGTTAGCGGTGTGAGAAGCAAGGAAGTAGAGACAGGGTAAGCCACTTTTTCCATAAGTTTTTAAGCAGGGGGGAAGCCCAGCACAGGCTGGAGCTGGAGAGGAGCAGGGCTGAGGAAGGCTGGGGGACGGAGGGAGGACTGCAGGAAGGACCCTGAGGGGATAAAGCCCTGGGCCGGTGGTTGGAAGAGGCGGGTGGGGCGCATTCAGGTTCTTTCGGGGAAATCAAGGGACTCTCAGGGCCAGCTGATCACACAGTGCAAAGCTGCCTCTCCCTAGCTGTGCTGTGACACGACTGCGGGGGGGCAGGGGTAGTCTCCCAAGCCTGTTCTCCTGCTCAGAAGCCTATGCAGAGCACATGGTGGCCCCATGCCTCTGCTGAAAAAAATGAATAAATGAATAGTTGGGAGCAGTTGAGGGCTCTAGAGTGAGAGGAGGGCAAAGTACAGTGTTTGGGGGAGTGGCGCCTTGGAAGGAAGGGGAGTCCGGGAAGGTGGTGGGAGGGGTACAGGGCCTCTGAGAGAGGGGGAGGACAATGTCCCTGTCCAGAAGGGTTACAGGAGGAGAGTGGAGGAGCCCCCACCTCCAGGCCCCCTGCATGGGAGCTGGAGGGAGTGTCTAATGAGGCAGTATAGACAGCCTTGTCAATAGGGGCAGATGTTTGGCAGGAAAGGGAGGAAGGGAGGGGTGGGGCAGAGGCAGTGAGGGTGCGGAGATGTACTTTTATACTGTTGGAGGGGATTCCTTTCCTGCCCCAGGCCATGCCAGGTGCTGTCCACCATTCCATCTCATTGAATTCTCATGTAATTCCCATGGAAGAAGATGATGAAGATGATTGCTATGGGTAGTCTCACTGTAGAAATAAGAAAACTGAATCTCAGAAACTCTAGGCCCCTTGCCTAAAGTCACAAAGCCCCCGAGTAGCACAGAGGGAGTTTAAACCCAGGCTAGTCTGACTCCAAAGCAGGCTCTGTCCATTATCCCAGTAGACCTGACCAGGGGAGAGGCCATGATTGGGGGCAGCCTCCAGGGACACTGCTGTGGGGCAGGAATAGGGGACTTGGGCCTTCTCAGGTCTCCTTGGGCCCTAGATGATGTCACCTCCTGGAGGGACTACTGAGCTCACCTCCCAGGCCTTGTCTGGTGTCTAGCAAATTCCAGGAGCCTGAGGGAGGGTGAGCGGACCCAAGAGTAGGGAGTGGCAGAAGAGACAGGGCACAAGGCAATCGTGGTGGTGGGCATCTGTTCCTGAAAAAGCTGAAGTTCAATGTGGGTAAAGAGAGAAGCCAACACAGGGTGGAGGACTGTGCCGGGGTGGGGGTTGGGCCTCATTCCTACCTTCACGCTTCTCTGACTCTGCAAATACTGTTCCCTCCCCTGGAATCTCCTTGCCTCCTCCTCCTCCAAGGGCAAGTTCAGATGTCCAGTCTTTCCACTTTGGCCACCCTTCTTCTCCCCTAAGCTCCCTCTTTTGGTCCTCAGAGTGCTAGCAACCAGATTTTCTGACTGAGGAATAGCAGACTGAAGGTTCATTCTAGGCTACTTACATCCCTTACATGGTCTCATCCGGCCTCATCCAGCTTTAAATACCATCCATATGCTGACTGTGCTGAAATTTCTCTCTCCTGCCTGGACCTTTCCCCAGAGTTCCAGACTCTGATTACGCCACATCTCCACAATGAATATCTAAAACACATCTCAAACCAGACATGGCAAAAACAAGTCCTGATCTGTCCCTTTCCCACCCCCACCTGGTTCCTTGCAGTCGTCCACATCTCAGTTGAAGCCACTCCATTTTTTCAGTAGCACAAGCTAAAAACCTTGAAGTCATCTTAACTCTTTTCTTTCCTTCACACCCCACATCCAATCTGCCGGCAACTCCTGTTGGCTTGACCTTCAACACACATTCAGGTCCTGATCCCTTCTCCCACCTCCACTGCCAAGCACCACCACTCTTGCCTTGATTAGAGCAGTGGCTGCTACACTGCCCTTCCTTTGACCTTGTCACTACACTCTTCTCAACCCAAAAGCCGGATGGTACTATGAGCTCATAAGCAGCCCTATTGCTCCTCCACACAAATTCTCTGATAGTGTCCAAGCTCCCACTAGCCTCAATCAAAGTCTTTCAAAACCTACCAGCCCTAAATGATCCTCTCCTTGCCTGTATGATTTCACCTCCTACTACTCTGCTGGCCCATTCTGCTCCAGCCACACTTTACTTACTTCTTGTAGTTCCTCAAACATTCCAATTATGCTTCTGCTTAGGGATTTTTGCACCAGCTGTATCCCCTGCCTGGGATGCCCCCAGGTATCCTCATGCCTTGCCCCCTCACCTCCTTCAGATCTTGATTCAAATGTCACCTCATGTTTGCCTTCCCTGAGCATCTTAATTAAAACTATAAACCCTGGGCTGACCGAGTGGTGCGTTGGTTAAGAGCTGGCTTGGGACGCCAGCTCTGAGCAGCGGGGCCCTGGTTCGGATCCCACATGGGGGCCAGTGACACTGCCCTCTACAGCTAAGATGGTGAACAACAACTCGACCTGGAGCTAGGCTGCCCTGAGTCATCAGTGATGGCATAGGTTGCAGCCCTTGCTGCAGCGTGCTGCCATAAGCAACTGTGTGTGGCCAGCAGCCAGCGAGAGTGGCCAGCATCCTGAGTGAGCTGCCAAGAGCCGCCGTGAGTGGCCGTCCAGAGGCCGGCGACCAATTTGCCTCACCCGGGAAGAGCACAATGATAATACCAACATGGGCCAGTGAAGTGACGTCCTCCACAACTTAGACTGAAGAACAAAAGGACAGCAACTTGTCTGTTCCCCTTCCCCTGATTCATCAGTGCTGTTCCCCTCCCCAATTCCCCAATAAAATCTTTATTTTATTATTATTATTATTATTTTAGAATTACAATTTTTTTTTAAAGATTTTTATTGGGTAATTGGGAGGATGGGAACAGTGCTGGGGAATTAGGGGAAGGGGAACAGACAAGTTGCTGTCGTTTTTGTTCTTCAATCTAGTTGTGGAGGACGCTGCTTCACTGGCCCAAGTTGGCACCATCATCGCGCTCTTCCCTGGCAGAGGCAGATCAGTCGCCAGCTTCTGGACGGCCGCTCACTGCGGCTGTTGGCCGCTCACGCTGGCTGCTGGCTACATACAGTAGCCCATGGCAACCCACTGCTACAGGGACTGCAGCCCACGCCGTCGCCGGCGACTCAGCAGCCCAGCTCCAGGTTGAGCTGTTGTTCAGTATCTTAGCTGTAGAGGGCAGTGTCACTGGCCCTCATATGTGGGATCCGAACCGGGGCCCTCTGGCATCCCAAGCGAGTTCTTAACCATCGCGCCACTCGGCCGGCTGCCCAATAAAATCTTTAAACAAACAAACAAACAAACAAAAAACTATAAACCCTGCTTTTCCTTATCCTCCTTCCTTGCTTTATTTTTCTCCATAGAACCTATATCATCTAACGTATTATGTATCTGCCTCCTCCTAGAATATAAGTTCTATGAGAACAGTGTCTTTTCTGTTATTGTTTTCTTTGCTGCCCAAAACAGTGCCTGGCATACGGTAGGGACTCAGTAAATGTTTGAGTGCCTGTTTGGGGGCATTCACTATGCTGAGCACTGAAGATAGGATAATAAACACAACCTGACAGTCTGTGAAGCTTAAGTCTTGGGTAGCATTTCTCCAATTTTCATGAGTTAGGCCTTACCTGGGGAGCTGTTAGGAGCGAAGACTCTGGCTCCACCCTGGATTTTCTGGGAATAGATCCCAGGGGTGTACATGGTGCACAAGCTACAGGGGTGTTTCCGATGCAAGTCATGTGAGGGTCACGTTCTGGTCTTCTGGGATAGACTGAAATACTGTCCAGGACGCCTGGGGTCTCATTTTCACAGCACCGTCCACTCTCCGTTAAACAGTTGTTACATGACTGTTTCCTCTCTAAAGTGTTTTGGGCTGCAGCGGCACCTTGTTCTTCTCTGTGGCCCGTCGGCTCAGCACAGCGTAGGTGCCAGTAAATGTTTATTGAGAGAGCGAGTGAATGAATGAATGGTGACAAGATGGGTGAATGAATAACGAGACTCTGGTTAGAAAGCAATTTCAAGAATTTAAGATCTAGAAGGTGAGAAAGTTTTCAAAGACTTCCCCTGTGAGGGGCTAGGATTTCAGAGGTCGTGACGCGTTTGGTTGTCTGTGAAGGTGGCTGCTCCTCCGGCTGTCTGGGGCCTGGCGTGGCCGCAGAGATGCGGAGCGCACAGGCAGCGAGGCCACCCAGCCGGCTTCCCAGAGGCCGGCTTCTTGTCCAGCGCTGCCGTTGCCATAGCTACAGACGCAGCCTGGAGAGGAGGGGGCGGGCCTGGGGTTACGTCATTCCTAGCGCGACGCTGCTCTGCGCCTCCCGCCTCTCGGCTTGCTAGACCCTCCGCCCGCCTTCCGAGCTCTCCACCTGCACGCCTCCCCCGCACGCCCCCTCTCACGGCTCTGCGCAGGCGCAATGCTCACTAGGCGCGCGGAGGAGCCCACGAGGCGCATGCGCGGTGCTGTGCCCGCCGCCGCTGTGGTGTCGCCGCTGCCGCCGTAGCCGCCGTTGCCACCTCCCTGCCGGCAAGTGTGGGAAGGAGGAGCCGAGGGCCGCCGCCGCCGTTGCCGCCATGGGGGTGAGTGAGGCAGGGAGAGGGGAAGCGAGGGCCGGGAGCGTTTCCCGCTCCCTTCGTCCCCTGCGCCCCCATTGTTACTGAACCCCCTCTCACGTGACCCCGACCCCCTCCGGCCTCACGTGACCCCCAGCCCCCACATGACCCAATTCCCCAATTCTAGGTGTCCCCGCTAGTCCCAGCCTGAGAGTCCCCTGGGGAGCCCCCTTCTCGGGGCCCCACCCCCTTGGGTTCCCCCCCCTTCGAGTCGCGCCCGCCCTGCCTTCCTGCCTGACCTGCTATCTTCTTAGCCACCTCCTCCCAACCCCCACGCGGACCTTGGGGTATTCCCCCTACCCCCAGGGGTCACCGTCACCTGGTTGTCACCGGCTTCACGGCTTCCCGCACCTTAGGCCAGCCCTGGCTTGGAGGTAACAGGCCCAGAGAAAAGAAGGCACCCAGCCAAGGTCAAATATGCAGTGACGGGGGGCCAGACCCCGACTCGGGAATCCCCGACCGCTGCACTTCCCGCTACTCGGATTCTCAGTGAAGCCGGTTCCCCTGCTCGCTTTCGAAACCTCTCCACCAGGTTCCTCCTGCTACTGAAGCAGTCTTCCTTTTCATCAGAGACCTGCCTTCACGGCCTTCTAGATGCAGTGAGGTGGTGCTTATTATTACCTGACTTATTAGCAATCTTAGTACTGCAGGTGGCTTTGCACAGGGAAGCTGTGCAGAAGGTGAGCAGGGGGCTGATGGGGAGGGACCACTGACGATGGCCTCAGCCGTTATGGATAGTGACCACTGTTCTGTGCAAGGCCACCTGGAGGTGCATTTTATGCCCTTCCCTGGCACGTGCTGATAGAGGGTTGGCAGAAGTTATGCGCATGTTTCTATGAGTTCACCTTCCTAAGTCCCATATATACAGACTTTTCCTCACCTTTAGGGAGCCCTGACTTTGGAGCCAGAGCTACTTCAGTCCCAGCCCCATTCGCTGACTAGCAGCATGATATTGTGCTAGTGACATGGCCTTCCAGAACTTGAATTTCCTCAGCTATGTGATAAGTATGATGGTACCTTCCCTTTAGAACAGATTTGAGGACTCAATGAGATAGTGGATGTAAATAACCAACTAGGTGCCTCCTAAACAGTGGCTGTTATTTTTGCCTGGATTCTCAGCCTTTACTTTAGTTATCTAAAATAGATGTGTGCTATTTTTAACCCATTGGGTTTGTCTCTGCTGTTACTAACCTAGATTTTTTTTTCAAATAGTTATTGACTGAACAAATCAACTTGTTAGACACAAATTGTTGTCTAATCCATGTCAAAGCACTTTATGTAATGCATGTCAAAACACCTTCATCATTTTTCAACAAGGAATTTTGGATACCATGTATTTCATATGTAGAAAATTAAGTCTAGACACTTTAGTCACATTTAACCTAGACTGGGGTGAAAGGTCCCAGATCCAGCTCTTGTTGAAACTAAATGAAACCTGTGTTCTGGGTATCACTCGGTGTCTCCCCAGCATCGGCCACTATAGACTAAGCAGAAAGCAAGAAGCATAACACACCGTTCTGGCTCAGCACTTCCTCATTGCTGAGCTGAAGCAGCAGGCCTCAGAGATACTGCGATCCTTGCTTCCTGTAGGGCCCCCGTCTTATTACTCACACACTTTGCAGACGTGTTTCTCAGAACGGCCCCTACCTAGTCTCTTCTGGCCTAAAAGTCACTGCAAAAGAGAGACTTGAATTTTCCTCCCTGAAACAGAGCTGGAACCCTCTCGTTATCCTCATTCCTCATGGGTGGGGGCTATGGACCCCCCACTCCAGAGGTGTCAGGAAGGTCATCCTAGTGGTCACCCCCTAGCAGGGGGCCCTGCTCCATTTGACGGCCTGACCACAGGCTGGGAGAGAGTGGCATCAGATGGAGGAGCAGCATTCTCCTCAAAGCTCTTTTGCCTTTGTGGTGCCGCATAGGTGTTGCTTTCAGGAATTAGAATTTAGATCTGTCTCCCTTTGCCCAAAACAGATTCTTTTTGGATCCTGGATACTTTGTGGGATGGAGGCGGTGACACTGAAAATCTAAGCAATGCCAAATTCCTTTTCTGAAAGGGGCCTCCTGCCCCCATCTGGTGTTTTTGTTGTTAAATTTCTCCATGTGATCCCTGGCAGTCAGAGAACTGCATGCAGAGACGCTACTGGGTAGGAGTAGCAAGGGGAGGGGTTTCACAGCTACGTGTGAAAACAGCGTTTATGTCACTATAATAACAAGTGCCATATATTGGGCTGTCGGAAAAGTCATGACATATTTTTTCTGTTTTTCGTTGCAAAAATGCGTCATGACTTTTCCGACAACCCAATAAATGTAATTGATGTAGTGGAGGGAGCATGGACTCGAGGGTTCAGACCTGGATTTGAATCTTGGCTAATTCATTCATTCATCAGGTATGAACTGAGTACCTACTGTTTGCTGAACACTGGGTGTACACTGGCAAATAAAGCACATGTGACCTCTCCCTCCTGGAGTGTATAGTCTGGTGGGAGTGGAGGGAGGAGGGTGATAGGAAGACTTCTTTGAAAATTGTGTTCACTGGCTCTGTGACCCTGAAAGTTGTCTAATCTCTCTGTGCGTCAGTTTTCTCATCAAAGAAGTGGGCACACATACCTTGCTGAGCTATAAAGATTAAAATAAGTCATCTTTAGTAAAGCACTAGCAGAGTGCCTCACACTAGTGGGTCCATGTAAACACAAGTCCTTACTATAAAGAATTTTTATATCTAGTTCCTTCTACTATTTTGTCCTCACAGCAGTCCTGGGAGGTGGAGGCCTTGTTAGCCCCATTTTATGGATGTGGAAATTGAGGTTCAGATAAACCGAGTAGCTTGCTGAAAAGAGATTAAATAACTTGCCCAAAGTCACACAGCTATTAACTAGAAAAGCTGAGAATCAAATCCAGGTCTCTTGACTCAAAATCCCACACTCTCTTTATTATATAAAGCTCCCTTGGGAGAGACACTTAACCACAATGAGCTTTTCTGTTCACTGTGCTTATTTCCCATTTTAATTAGGAGAATTTTCCTGTGTCCCTGCAGGATAGTCTTACCTCCTCAAGGCAGGGCAAAGCTAATTGGAACAGTAGGAGACCACTTTTCCTACTGTGTGCTAGTTTGGGGGTAGCCCCAGCTTGTCTGGCCCAGCCTGCTGCCGCCTGCCTCATAACCCTGCGTGCAGGCAGCAAAGTGCCTAAGGGACTCTTTCATTATCTGCAGCCTGGGGCCATGGCAGCCCCAAGCCTCACTCTAAGGATTGCACAAACGAGCCCATAAATCTCCTGGAGGCCCAGGGTTGGCCCTCCTGCTGCTTGTGCTTAGGAATTACTTACTTCATGTGCTTAGAAATGAGATGCTATGGAGGGAACCCACGTTTCAGGGCTTTCTGGGTCCCAGGAGTTGGACTTTCTATCCACCACCTTTGATCCTTTAGCTCTGTATCATAAGAGAGAGCTAGCATACAGGATGGAGCAGGGAGGTTTCCACTGCCGTGTAGGTGTGCTGACTTCTGACCTATCGTTATAGCTGTTCCATGAGGCCAGCATTGCGTCCCCATTTTCCCTCAGATGGGAGTTTATTTCCACAGGTCATGCCAGGGGCGGCAGGAGGAGCATTGGCCTGGCCTGATGATGCCAAAGCTCATGTTCTTTCTGCCCCATCGCACAGCCCTGGAGACCTTCTGTGTCAGGTTTCCCTGTTCCCTTAGCCCTACCTCAGTGTGGAGGTAGGGTCTGGGGTGGCATGGTGTTGGCATGCCGTACCTGCCCTTACCAAGTCCAAAGAGTAATGAGAAATGAGGGCTCCCGAGGTATCATCTTGACCTTACCTTGGCCGGGCGAGAAGGTCTTTGATACTGACGTAGGCTCTCCCAGTGGGAGACAGCATGGCTGGTAGAACAAACACTGGATCTGTGGCCCAGCCCTTGGGATTGAGTGTCCCCTCTACCATTTGCTCTCTGGGGAGCTCTGAATGAGTCACACCATCCCTGTGAGCCTCAGTTTCCATGTGTAAAGGAGGTGATGATTTCTGCCCTGGAAATTGAACCAGATAATGTTTGTGAAAGCACTGTGCAAGCTGAGTGTGTCTCAGTGTTGTCTTGCAACCCAAATTCCCAGAGGAAAAGATGGATGCTCTAAGATTTATATGTGGTACAGGGGGGCTAGTTCTGTCCCCAGATCCCAGCATTATGAAGACAGTCTCTTCTGTCTGTTCCTTTTTCTAGGAAGGTAAGAAATGGGATCTAGCCTGGCTTCCAGCACAGTGCTCAGCCTGCAGATAATACTGGGTTGTCGGAAAAGTCATGACGTATTTTTTTCTGTTTTTCGTTGCAAAAATGCGTCATGACTTTTCCGACAACCCAATGCATAGCTGGTGTTGGGTGAGTGTGTACCTGGAGGAGCAATATCCCCGTTAGTTCTTGGTATCTGAGCTCTTGCCTCCTGGGTGCTTAAAGTAGGAGTTAAGCGGTGTCATTCCTTGGGGAACCGAAGGCAGAATTTATCCTGAGAAACTTTGCAGCCACTAGTTTTTCAATTCACCCATTCCTGGGGCCAATCAGTACCTGCTAAGGTGTGATTGGAGGTAGTAGAACCTCTCTCTCTGATGAGCTCAGGGAGGAGAGGGGGCAGTTGGTAAAAAGCAGAGCCATCTTCCCAGGGCCTGGGGTGCCTCTGGACTCGGGCTGGGTGTGCTGCTGTGGTCCTGGGGAGCGAGAACAAGAACTGTCATGTACTGAGCATGTGTGCCATAGTACCCCTCAGGAGCTTAGCACCTCCACAGAGGTATTAAGGGCCCCGCTCATCAGATGAGGAAAGGGCTCAGAGAAGGGTTTCCCCGAAGACTGCAGGGACTGAAGAACAGAGAGGCTTTGGGTAAGGTCTGTCAGACTCCAGAGCTGGGCTCTCTCCCTGTGTTACCAGCTTTTTACGGGAAGACAAGAAGGTCCACTTAGGCCTGAGAGAACCCCACATGAGCCTCAGGATAGAATCTGCCCTGGATGCGGTTGTGGCTGGTTTGCTGGTTGCCCCTCTGTGCAAGGACAGCCTCCCTTTGCTCCTCCCTGCTGCTGGTGTGGCTGCAAGTTGGCCTTGCTGACCACGTGTCAGCATGGCCTCTGTCCCCAGGTGAACCCCTTGGGGCCCTTCACTCTACTGTGACGCTACTAGGTGCGTGGTGTGCCTGCCACTCACTGGCCTTGGCTGAGCAGCATGTCTGGGGGACGGCTGACTCCTTAAGCCCGAGTGCCCTGGCCCTGGCTTAGAAGGGGGCCCAGCTCCCAAAGCAGCTGCCCCCAGACCAGAGCCTTGTCTCCTGAAGCTGGAAGACATTGAAAAGGCTCTGAATAAAAGGACACTTAGGAACAGCTGCCATCGACCACCTCAGATGCCATCTCCTCCCTGAAACCTGCCCTGAGTGTTTAAAGTTAGCTGTTCCCTCCTTAGGAGGGGATTGGTGGGTGAATATTTATTAGGCACCTGCTGGGGGCCAGGCTCTGCTGCCAGCATCCTCATTGACATGGGCAAGAGATCTTCACAGTGACCCAACAGCCCCGAGGGTCCGTGCTCTTCCTGACACGGAAGCCAGGGAGTCTTGTGATGCTCCTAGGATCTCACGACTAGAACATGCTTGCGTCTTTCCCACCCCAACAAGTCTGTGGCAGCCAGGATTGGAAGTTCCTGCTACCGAGGCCAGGCCTATGGACACAGGGACAGACCCTTAGGTCCTCAAAGGGAGTCAAGCCTTTGTTGGCCACAGCCCTTCTAGCCAACTTGGCTTTTCTCTGTTGCAGAGGAAGTCGAGCAAAGCAAAGGAGAAGAAGCAGAAACGGTTGGAGGAGCGAGCAGCCATGGATGCCGTCTGTGCCAAAGTGGATGCCGCCAACAGGGTGACTCTCCCCTCCTTCCCAGCCCCTTCCTCCTGGAACTGCAACTTGGCTTTTAATTTGACTTCTTTTGGCACCACCTTGTGGCAGAATTGTGTTACTACCGCCCTTACCTCCGCTGCCTCCTTGTGGGGAGGGGAATGAGGGGGAGTGTTGAGGAGGGCCAGCGATTGGCCCACTGTGCAGGGAAATGTGAATTCACGTTGGAAGTGGCTGCTCCTCTCGGTTGGTTTCCTCCTTACCGACAGAAGAGGGTCTGGAGAAAATTTTGGTAGGATTTTGGATTTTGGGGAGGAAACCTTCCTCATAAAATGTGGTATAATTTTCTTGCTCATGCCTTCAAGCTTTTACTGACTTCCTGTGAAGTACCAGCGGCTGTGCTGAGAATGGGAAGGTGCAGGTGCCTGGTTTCAAGGGGCCGCAGTCGGGAGGAGTAGCCGTGAATCTGAGCACCAGATGAGCCCAGCTTTCAAGCTGAACCAGAGAGATTCTGGTCATCCTTCCTGTCCCCTCTTATCCCATGTTTTATTATTCTTTTAGCCCACTCAGTAAACAGTCCACATTTATAAGGATATGGTTCAGGGATGTGATGGTTCCATTTTGGGTTTTGGCCAGATGAGGTTAGCTCGGGGCTTCCTAGAAGTATGCAGGTGGGTCTGATGGCCTCTCCTCTTCTCTGGGTCCTGAGCAGGTTGTATGCCCATGGACCTGTAATAGTATTAGGCCGGTAAAGTCTCTTCTGTCCCGGCAAAGGAAGCTAACTTATTAAAGCCTCCCTCCTACATGTGATTTCAAAGCTGAGGCAGGCGGAGAGTGCGAGTGAGGGTGTTCCTGGGCCCAGGAGCTAAGACGTGGGGCTGTTGGGCTTCAGGGCAGAGCCTGTGACTCTGCCGCACGTGTGTTTGTGCTACTCCTCTTTTCTTTCCCTCCACAGCTTGGAGACCCTCTAGAGGCTTTCCCAGTGTTCAAGAAATATGATCGAAATGGGTGAGTGTCCGGCTTTCCTAACTTGCCGCTGAGTGTTCAGGAATTCACCTTCCCAGAGTAGGCGTCTCCAGACTCCAGTTTTCACATTTTTCTTTGTTAGGAAAAAGCAGAAATGGTGGCTAGTATCCTGTTGATAGAAAATCCCCCAGTTAGGGTGACAAAGGAATCCATAAATGAGCCAAGATTGTATAATCTCAGACTGATGTCTCTAGGACTTGTTATTCTCTCCAGACCAAGAATCACAGAGCTGAGACACTTGAAAAACCATCTAGGCCAACTCTCTTTTTATACAGGGGGAAACTGAGGTGCAGAGACGTTGAGTGAGATTCCTGAGCTTAGAGCTTCTCTCTGGCAGCCAAGGGGCTTTTAATTCCCAATCCAGTGCTCTTTCCCTCAGTGTATAGTGTAGTATAATTGTTAAAAGCCACTTACTGGCTTTGTGACCCTGGACAAATACTTCACCTCTCAGTGCTTCAATTTTCTAATTGGAGATGGCTCTAATAATAGTACCTTCCTAATGGAGTCATCGGGAGGATTAGCTGTAAAGCCTTAGTGCCTGGAGCGTACTAAAAGCTAGATCAGGGTGAGCTGTTATTACTACTGTTATTATTACCAACCCAGTGTACTGTAGGATCTGGATTAAAGTCCCTGTCTCCTTTCTGTCTTCTTGGTTTATAAAATAGGAAGCGTAATCTGTCCTATCAGAGAGGCGTTGGCTGAGGGAGAAATGGGGGTTGTGGTCTTAGGGAATCACAGGTATGGGTTTGAATCATAACTGTGCCTCTTATTAACCACACTTGGACAAGTCAGCCCTACTCTGCAAGCCCCATTTTTAATCTGTTAAATGAAGGAAAGGTGCCAAATTTGCAAGGTGGTTTTAAGGAGGGAAGAGAACGTATCAAGCTCTGGAAGTAGCAGCTGGTGTGAGTATTTTAATGAACAAGGTAAACTAATGCAAATATTTGAATTATGAAGTAAAGACTAGTGTAGTAGGCAACAGTGTTTGCTTTTCAGAGCTGTATCTGGATTTCATAGTACCACGCTAATTTATTCATCCTCCTTCCTGCCTGCGATCAGACGCATTGTAGTTCCTCTGGTAGCTGTGCCATTCAGTTTCTGGGAAGGCCTTCACGTAGTTTACAGACCCCTTATGTGCTGCTCTTAGCATCCGTACTCATTCCCGCTGACTTCCAGAAACTTGAAGCAGCTCTGAAGCATCGCGGCCAGCAGACTCTGGGCTCGTCAGTGCCTGCAATGTGGTGTGATTGGTGTGGCCGGTAGCCTACAGACATGAACTTTAAGAACTCATATTAGCAGAGCGTTTATACCTGCAGACAGCCCTTTGGAAAAGACATCGCTCAGCAGATTCAGTGCTGTGTTTGGGCTTTTGTGACTACTGCGTGGTCACTGCTTACAAAGAAAGGAAGGCTTCCCAGTCAGGAAGTTCCAAATTTACCAGGCTGAGCGCATGTGCAGCTCTCATGTCGTGCTAGTCACAGAGGTGAGGGTGGATTCCAGTGGGAATATTTTCTGAGGGGTCATGTCAGAGGTCACTGAAAGTTACTGGAATGGGAGCTTTCTAAGGCTTCCAAGTTGCTGGCTTCCGAATGTGGCCCTACCTAGGGCATGTGATTTCCCAGTTTGGCCAAGGCGTTTATCTATAATTTATTTAAATTTCATTTATTAGAAGTAAATACCAGATTAAGATACCTTAATTCCTACAGCATTTATTAGTTTAGGAAAACAGTGTGGGGTTTGCTTCGCTGTATCCTCAGAGGAGGCAGGAGGCGGCAGGCAGGACTCCTCAGACGGGATTGGGGGCCGGGATTGGGGGCCATAGTCTTCTCGAGAGCCTGAGGTCACCCGGACACTTTCAAAGGAGAGGTAGATAAGAAAGAAAAGGTCCCAAGGGGCCCGCCCAGTCAGGAGTCAGTTCAGAATTAAAGCAACAGTAAAAATGCTGAAGGGCAAGAGTTAAGGGAACAGAGCAGACTCTAGTGTTTATAACAAAGTGCAGAAGAGAGGGTGGTAGCAAGAGGGACAGTTTACAAAGTGCCGAGTCCGATAAGGGCGTGTAGGGGAGGCAGGAAATGGGACTTGTGGTCAGGGTGGTGGGCCTGCGATGACAGTTGTTAATCTCGGCCCAAAAGGCTTAGTTCCTGCACAGGCACCTCCTGTAGTTATGTCCAGGAAGGCTTGGCTTGGCCTAGCTGAGATCAGGCACGCCTCCCTGCCAGGCCTTCAGGCCAGCAGGCAGCGCCGGGCCGGAGCCGGCCCCACGGCCTCTGTTCCTCTCCTCAGGTTAAACGTGTCCATTGAATGTAAGCGAGTGTCTGGACTGGAGCCAGCCACCGTGGATTGGGCTTTCGACCTGACCAAAACCAACATGCAAACCATGTAAGCACACCCTGATGGGGCGTCTCTCCCCCAGGCCCGCTTTCCTATTTCAGAGTTCCCAGGCCTGACTGCCCCCCAATTTCTCAGGTATGAGCAAAGCGAGTGGGGCTGGAAGGACCGAGAGAAACGGGAGGAAATGACAGATGACCGAGCCTGGTATCTCATTGCTTGGGAAAACAAGTCGGTCCCTGTTGCCTTTTCTCACTTCCGGTTTGATGTGGAGTGCGGGGATGAAGTCCTGTACTGGTAGGAGCCCCGGCTTGGGGGTGCGGTGTGTCGGGGGAGACCCTGGTGCTGCTCTTGGCACTCCAGTGGGTGTCAAAGTCCACTGCACCTGCCTGGGTCTGCATGCCACCAGGGGCCGCAGGCTCTTGTGACAGGCCCTGCCGCCCCTTCACGCTCACGTCCCTGCTTTCTTCATCCAGCTACGAAGTGCAGTTGGAAAGCAAGGTACGGCGGAAAGGCCTGGGGAAGTTCCTCATACAGATCCTGCAGCTCATGGCCAATAGGTAAGGGCCACCCCACGTGTCTCCCAGTTGGAAGCAGCTGCCTCTGAGGCGGCCGCTGTTTTTCGAGCCTCCATGGAGGACAAGGCTCATGGGAATGTTTTGGAAGAAGGGCGTCTAGAGTCCTCTCAGCAAGATAGTCCCTGCCCTGCTGTGACCCTAGATTTTGTACATGCAGCTCAGTACATAATGGGGACGCAGAGGAAGTGGGGTAGCCAGTCAGGTGGGGGCCTGCTGCCTGTGCAGCCTCATCAGCTCCTAACAGAGGGAAGTGCTAAGCGCTGTGGGAGTCCAAGACAGGCTGGAGTCGGGCCTCAGGAGTGCTTCTCGGGCAAATGGGAGACGGCAGGCAGAGGCACGAGAGAGGAAGCAGGACTTAGCACCTGTCTCTTTCTGAAAGGTGTTCTCTGCTTTCTTCTCAGCACACAGATGAAGAAAGTTATGTTAACGGTATTTAAGCACAATCATGGCGCCTACCAGTTCTTCAGAGAAGCGCTGCAGTAAGGAGCTGGGCCCCGGTGTGGGACTCTGGGTGCAGGAGGTGCCTGCCTCAGGGCCTTTCTCCTACTCCTGGCCCCATTTATCCTGACGCCTGAGCTCCCGGTTCAGTGGTCATAGGGTTTGGGGATTGGTGGGATGATGTGGGAATACCCTCTGGCTTGGTCCCCTGCCCTACTAGGGGTAGAAAAATTCTCAGGCTTGGGAGGGGGATGCGGAGGGTGAGGCAGGCAGCTACCTGCAACCAATCCTGTCGCCCTGCCTGCCTTGCAGATTTGAAATCGACGACTCTTCCCCCAGCATGTCTGGTTGCTGTGGGGAGGACTGCTCCTACGAGATCCTGAGCCGGAGGACCAAGTTTGGGGACAGTCAGCACTCGCATGCGGGCGGGCACTGTGGTGGCTGCTGCCACTGAACCCCCAAGCCAGGACACTCTCTCCAAGGCCTGTCCTCTCCCCAGGTGCCCTCAGAGCTGTGGCCTCCTCAGCCCTGCCCGTGCCAGGCTGCATCCTGAGAGCGCAGACCCTGGGGAGGAGTGGTCCGAGCTGCCCCTCCTGTCTCCTGGAAGAGCAGAGTACCAGTGGGGAGCAGAGAGGAGAGGATGCTGAGGGAAGAGCTGGCAGAAGCCGGGGCATGAAGTCATCCTCGCACAGAGGCTGCCTTCTCACTCCACTCTTGTGCCCTTGAGCATGAGACTCCCAGTCTTCTCTGTAGCTAGATTCCTGATAGTCCCCACCCCCTGCCCTGCACACACACGCACGCTTGGACAAGCGGAGCGTTTATACCCACCTTTATGAAAGTCCTGGGAGTCCTGGGTCGGGATCTGGCTGGTCCCCAAAGAGGAATGGGCTCAGTGTAAGGTCTGGGAATAGAGAGGCTTCAGAGAGACTCATGCATTGTGGACGCAACACTCTGATGGAGACTATGGGGAGGTCTTTTATGCCACAACACAGGGAAGCAAGGGCGCTCTTTCTAGCTTTTATGGATCCACGGAGTGGAGTCATCCCAGGGCACCAGCCAACTCTGGGAAGAAGGCTGCCTCCTTCTCCGTCGCTGTGAGAGGAGCTGAGAGGACCAGGAACAAAGGATCGAATGGAGCCCGCCATGGGGACAGTTGCTTCTTTGGGCTTTTGGACTTTGCTGCATTCTAAGCAAACCTCTTGATCTCATGGCAGTGACTGACTAGAGTGTTTCATTCATAGGAAAAAGCCAGAGGTCCTGCCTGTTCCTGTCCCCTCACTACTCTTTCTCCCCCTGCCTCTCACCTCCACCCCAGATACCTCTGTTCTTACTCTCAAGGGGGAATAACATCAGGGAGCCCATCATCGTCCCCCAGGAGGACCCCTTGTTCCTGGCATGTTCAGTGCCATTTCCGCTCATATCTTGGTGCTGATAGCTCTCTGTGGGGGGGCATCCCTCTTCAGAGAGCCCCCAGCCAGCAGCAGGCCCTCTGCCTGCGCTCCCCAGCCTCGCCCCTTGCTGCCTCAGTGAGGCACTAGTACCACTGCCCTGGCTGGCAGCTCAGGCTGCAGCAGGAACCGCCTAGGTGGCCACGTCACCCTGTGGCAGCAGGCTGGAGCAGGGGAGAAGGCCTTCGTCTTCTCACAGGACAGGGTGCAGGGTCAGAGCTTACACTCGCCCTGATCTGTAGGCCTTGTTCCCGCTCCAGGGAAAAAAACGACCAAATTCTTATCCAGGAAAAAACACCTAACACCCCCTCCCCCCTTAAACATACTTGAGGCCTGCGTTAGGGAGTGTCCTAAAGTTCTAGCCTTTGAAGTTGCTGTCCTGGAAGTCGGGGTCCTTCTGACCTCAGAATCTGCTCACAGCCCTCCTCTGCCCCGACTCAGGCATCTGTGCTGGGGACCTCCCCAGAGCTGTTCCTGCTTCTCCCCCAGACCCTGCCTGTGCAGGGGCCTGTGCACAGCCTCTACCTGGCCCAGCCCCCGCTGAGCATTCTGTGTTGCTCTTGACCCCGCCAGCTGTGGCATGGGTCACTGCCTTGGAGAGGGCCCTGCAGCTTTACACTGGAATAAGCCCACCCGTGCCCTTGTCCTGCTGGCTCCCAGGGGATTTTACTCATGGGAGAGAGTTTCAGTTGTTGGGAGGGCATTGGTGGGCTCCTTCCAAGAATCATGGAACAACAAGCATGCTTAGGAAGAGTTTTCTCTAATCCCTGTCTTTCAAAGGACATAGAATGATAACTATTTATTGTCTTAGATCATGGATTTCTGATACCTCCCACTCAAGGGGACCAAAAGGAACCCCCAGTGTAAATCCCGCATAAGGTGAGTTCAGTGTATGTTGTCTCTTTCCAGTAATAGGACACCTGGAACCGAGCCCATTGGTGCCTGGGGCGCTTGGTGCCATGCCCTGCCTGTCCAGCCTCTGGCAGCCACCTCGGAAGGGCTGCTCGGGACGTCAGGGCTGGGGCAGGCGAGGCCTCGCTGCCTGAGTCAGCACGTCGCTCTTGTCGCTGTTGAGCCCGTTCAGTTCTTAACCATCAGTCTTTCTCCACTTCCCCAGGTCTTGGTTTTGAGAAACATAGCAGGCCTTTACCAGGCTTTTTTGTTGTTTGTTTGGGGCACATTAAAATATTCTTTAAGATTTTTTCTTTTTAGTTGTATCCACTCTTATTTCAGGTTATTTTTGTTGATGTCAAATGTGCACATGACATGTGTATGGTTCTTTTTAACCCTTTTTTTTAGAGGAAACTTTGAAGATAAACTCCTTGATATATATTTTTTCTTTAGCAACTTGTTATCACTGGAATCAAAGGGAAAAAATGATCTCTTTTTGCATTGGTTGTATTTGTATGTCACGAATAAAAGATACTTTGTTCAGCTGCTGGGATAGCTCCTGATGCTGAGGTGTCATGGGCAGTGTGTGGGCCCAGGATGTCCTGGGCCCTCAGCTGGTCACAACGTTGGGCCTAAACCCTGGGACGCACACAGCTGTGATGGCCCCACGCTCCTCCCTGTGAAAGAAGCTTCAGGCCTGAGAAACCTCAGTGTCAGGTGAGGAGCCAGAGGTGGGAACTGAGACCAAATGCATATGTTTGTGCCACTTCCCAGAATCCCTGGGTGGAAATCAGAGGTCGTCTGAGGGGCGCCAGCTTTGCATCCTGGAGAGAGTCCCAAGCCAAGCATTGTGACATCTGACATCTATGGCTGCACATAAATTTAAGTGTATTTGTGTGTGGGAGTTAGATGAGAATGTCAGTGTTTCTTTTCTCCCTTTTACTTTACTGGGTTACTCAGAATAGCCTCTCTCTTAAAAAGATTCCAACCCCCTCTTCTCTCCACTTCCAAAAGACAAGGCTCAAAGGAAGGGTAACGCATGTCGGTCCTGACAAGGCAGGAAGGTTATGAGCTGAGGAGGCTCCATCCAGTCCCTCGAATGTGACAGATGGAGCAATGCACCTTCTCTCCCGGGCGGGTGGGACTCCTGCCAGTTCTGTCCCAGGGCGAGCTGGGAGAAGAGGCAGGAAGTGGGCTGAGAGCTAGGGCTCGGAGGCACTTCCTGTGGTGCTCTTGTGTGGTGATCATATCTCTTGGAAGGTGGTGAGGGAGACCAGGATGGAGCCCTGGAGCCACATGTGTTTGTGCTCTGGCTGGGGACAGAGGAGCAGGGTTAATAGCTGCCCAGTGGGTGCCAGCATGTGGCCTCAGGCCTGTGAGCAGGGGCACACCCAGGGGATGGTTTGTGCAGCTGTCCTATCTTTGAGGCACAGAGAAAAGCAGCCTAGTCCTTGGGGAGGGAGTGCATTTCACTGGCTAATCAAACAACAGATTTCTCATGTGACAGAATCCTGCCCCCAAGTTCTTTGTTCCTTGAAGGCTGTTTTAATCCCAGGCAGGAATTCCTTGGGATGGCCAACCCCTTGCGACAGGGTAAATGGCAAAAGTTGGGAGGGGTTAGGGCCCGTCCTTCACCACTGCGGGCTGGGGTCTGCGTCTGCACCTTCTACCTTCCTAAGTGGCTGGGGCCTCTCTCTGGTCCTCCACAGTGACAGCCTCCATGCCACTGCCTCCACCCCTCCCTCCAGCTGCAGCTCAAGCTTCTTTGCCCAAGTGGCATTTGCTGAAACACCACACCTTTAGCCAGCAGGTTCAGTAAGAGGCACAGTTACTGGGCGAGTGGTCAGAGCCAGAGCTGGTTTCCCCAGTGGGAGGAACCTGAGCGTCAGATGGTTTCTGCAGCCAAGCTTTGAAGGTGGTCCGCTCACACAAGGGCAAGTTTACTCTAGTTTCTTGTGCTTCCTCTCCAAGTGCAGGAGGCCGTTTCTGTACTGCCTGAGGACAGGGGTCTGGGCAGATGGGAAGGTGCTGTGGAGGAAGGAGTCTTGTAGACTGGACAGCCCGATGCAGACATGTTACCTACGTAGCTGTGACAGGGAAGGAAACGCATTTGGTGTGCCTCGGCTATGCCGGTGACAAAGCACACTTGGTGTTCCTGTGTGCTGGGCACGGTGGAATGCTTATTTGTATTAATCCTTACAACAATCCTATTCCATCATGGTGGCATTATTCTCAATTTAAGGGTAAATCGAGAGCCCCAGAGTGTAAATTAACTTGTTCATGGTCCTGGTAGTAAGTGGCAGAGCTAAGATTTAATCCCAGTAGGTGGTATTACCCCATTTAACAGGCGACCTGAAGCTGGGGAGAACTCAGTAAGACATAGCAGCAAACCAAGGAACTTGGCCTGACAGTCCCCTCCCCAAGCTGCCCCTGCAGCCCCCAGCGGTTGGTAGGCCCCCTTCCCCCTCCCCACCTTGATCTTACTGGTGTTGGGGGCCAGCACAGTGATTTACACCCAGTCTGCAGTGCCCAGGTACACAGTGGTGCCCCAGATGGACGGGGGTGGCATACAGGTCTTTGCGGATATCATCACACCTAATGATGGGAGTTGTAGGTTGTCCTGCTGATCCTGGCACCTGTTGGTCTTGAGGCCCTGTCTTCCCTCTCAGGGCTTGGCCTGGAGGGACAAAACCAGCCTGTCAATGGCCAGTGGGCCATTCTCCCCTGAGAGAGGGGTTACTTCTGTCTCATGCAGGGGACTGCCAAGAAAGATGGGGACTGGAGTTGAGAAGGGCAGTACTGAGGAGTGGCCGCCCCGTGGGGCAGAGACTTACCCACAAAGAAGGGCTGGAGAGGGCCTTGGGATGGGAAGTGTGCATTGCCAATGGTGAGCTGCTTGTCAGGCAGCCCGTAGCTCTTCTCCAGAAAGGAGGAGAAGGCAGCCATAGCCATCTCATGCTCAGAGGCCAGGGCCGTGTACCCCAGCGTTTCCTAGATGTCCCTGCATGATCTCCTCGGCTGGATGGGGGAGGAAACGGTGATGAGTTCGAGGCGAGGCGGGCTGTGCCCCGACCTCTGGGCTGCCCTGGCTCCAGAGCCTGCAGCTGAGCTTAGCCCTGCCTGACCTGGGCCCTCTGAATCCTGCTGCCTGGCCAGGGAGAGCAGCATCTGTGGGAGCCTTCCCCCTGCATGTGCACACGCGCTTCCTACATTTCCTGGATTCTGCCTTTGCAGAAGTGGACAAGATGAACCTGAAAACCTGTATTGGGGCTTTAGGAATTCCTGCTTTGAGATCTTTTTTTTTTTTAAAGATTTTTTTATTGGGGAATTGGGGGATGGGAACAGCGCTGGGGAATTGGGGGAAGGGGAACAGACAAGTTGCTGTCGTTTTGTTC